CCCAAACAGCCCACTTTTGTCGAAACGAGAATATGCATCAAATTTAGGTTTACCCACTAGTGTAGTTCCCTATGGAAGGCAYTCTGCACCAAACAGTCCTCACGTAAGGCGGAGTAACAACATCTGTTTACCCGTCTTAGCCTCGCCATCGCTTACRGTGCCAAACAGCCCAAAGTTAACAAGACACGGTGCCATTGATGATTTTGGCTCATCAACAGGAMATCATCYTTYCAGAGACTGGAGCAAAGACAGTAGCGATRTTGACGAGAAAAACGAGGAGAGAAAAGAAGATCAGTGCAATGATGAGAGTCTTGTTGTGTATACATCGAGTGGTGACGAGCAAGACAAGAACTATGAATATATAGCGATAAAACTTGAAGAAATGATGACACTTCTTGGAGACGTTTGTTTAGATGAGCATATAGCTGATAGAGTGATGGAGCAACTCTTCAAAATACGGATAAAACTAGTTTCATTTTTAAAAATTTGAAAACATGAAGCAATTCTCTTGGTATGAAAGAAGAAGCGCTAAAATTATCATGTTACTCTTTTTTTATTAACTCAGCTCTTTTTGATRACTCTATTCATGTCATTTATCGCTCGTAACTAATCAGTCTATCTTTTATCTCGATTGGGTGCAGTCAATCATTTGAGTCAGTTAGAAATTTAAAAAAGCTGCAGTCGCAACGGCCAGCAAAAGATAAATAATGTTAACCGTTTAACAAATAAAGGCCTGGAACCTATTCCAGATTTTTTTCATCTATTACAATCTTAATTTTCTCTCTCTCTCTCTCTCTCTCTCTCTCTCTCTCTCTCTCTCTCTCTCTCTTTCTCTCCTGATTGCACAACGCAAAGATAACTTTAAAAAAAAATTTACGATAACGCAAGGAAACATAAAACAAAGAATCCTGTGGGCACCCTTCTAAACCGCAATTGCACCATTACTGGGATCCTATTATTGCCGATCATTAATTAGCTTAGAACTTTGCACAAACAATCCTTTATGCTATAGCGCTTTTAAGTTTCTAATGGTACCTGGAGTGCTAATTGGCTGGAGACGCATGAATAATGATAAAATTGAGGCAAGARTTGCGAAATCAAGAACATATATGAATTACTTAAAAAATATATCTATATCTATATCTCAACAGAGAGAGCTCTAATATACTGTGATGACAAAGAAAAAGTTTAGCTGTCAATTGTCATGATTGTGTCACTGCTGTCGCGTTTGAATGTGTGATATACAAGAAACAATTAATTAAAGAATACACTAAGATAAAAGAAAA